GTCGAACACCACATTCAAAGGTCACCTTGAATCCAATTAGAAGTCTAATACATGGCGTATCCCAGAAATCACCTTTCTACATAAGTTTTTCAAGTACTAATAGAGGAATGACTATAAATCCAGGTTTTTTTGCCATTTGTAGACGCCGTAATATAACCAGCAACCATTTGGCTTCATGGCCATTATCCTACCAGTGGGCATTCCATCATCATTATCAGCACACAGGTTCCCACATAGGCTGGAAAAACTCCATGATTTCTCTCTCATCGATGATTTGTGTCAAGTACCTGGTCGCAGAAAGCGACCTCGTAAACTCTCATTTCTCCCTCGAACTTTAATTCCTCCCGTACCTATTCGACCTCGAAAGAAAGCGGATTCGATCGAGGGGGGAGTGTATAACGGGATCGTATAAAAATACCAGTTTGAACTGCTCGAACTCAAAAATTCAGTGCAGGCTACTACCAGTACCATTACTACTACCTGCTACCAGCTACTAGTTAGTAGCAGCTACCCATAATCTACCATCAACGGTGAGATCTTCCCTATATGTTGAACGAAAACGATATTTCCCGACACGACCACTTCAGGCCCCCCCCCCCCCCTTTGCCAAGGATGGCATGCCACTGAGCGGGTAGCGGCGCGACGACGAAAGAAGAGCACTCGGGATCAAGGTCGTCCCGAGGTTGGCAGTTTCAATTTGCAGATAAAGTAAGCAGGTGAAAAGTTGATGCGAGAATTTGTTTCGAGCCAAGCAGCGCTCAAAGTAACCAGTAGGTTCCCGATCAATACCTCCCGGTTCATGTAGTTCGGGTATCAAACCAGTAAACATTAGCTGGATTGTGTAGGGCATCATGGGTTTGAGGGTTGCATGTCGCAGTAGAAAAGTATCGTATAGGAAGAGCGATGAAGGAAGTAGACCGAATCGGGGGACTTAACAAAATGCTCAAGACGTGGTACATAATGAGGAACCAACTTTATGAATCAATAATCAATTCTCACAAACGTCGCATTTTTTGCCCCTCCCACTTCTCCCCAGTTATCTGCACCCATAAAAAATCGCTAAAACGTTCTTCCGAGAAAACGTACACCTCTTAACGTCATCGGAATGATAAGGAAACAAAGAAGAAGGACGGGCGCTGGCTTAAATCGATACACTTTGATTTGTTTGTGACTTGAATTTTAACATTTCCATGAGTCATACTGATCGATTCGTCATCAGTGATTGCTCATCACCACGTTATCGATCAGTACTTCAGTTCTCCACCGTCAGAGGTACTCCTCTTCTTCTCCACTTTCTTCCATCAGATTTTAACTTTTCTGTTAATTGCGGTCTCTGGTCCTATAGGGCCCCACGTGCCTTTACCCGAAATACCTGCCCTCGACATCTTCGCGTTCGAGTAGCGGACTACCGTATTTAACGTAATTCAGGGGCTCAATCCCTTTTAAAAGAGGTGTTCCAAAGCTTGAAAAAAAAGCTCTTCATCGCTACAGTTGAAATTTTTATGGCAGTTTTTTGATACTTAGAAATTCAGCACAACTTGACTTACTGATCCTTTTGTTTAAGGCAATTGCAATGGCGATTTGTGAGTGCCTTCAAAATAACGACTTGCTTCTCATAACTATTCCAAAGAATTGGGAATTGATCGAATCAGGAGGAGCATGCCTAACCATTTTCAACACAAGATACAAAGCAAGGAATCAAACCAGTGACAGGGAATTCGCAAAATCCGTTTTTATCCGCTGCGCCATACCTCAGCTTACCTGAGCCCACAAGTTCCATTTGAGTCAGAAGCGAAGATTTTTCATAAATTAGAAAGTTAATTAGAGTTCGAATTCTCTCACATGAGTTTACCATCAGAGTGCTTTCTTTGAACAAGAATTTTATTGTATCTTTAAACTGTATCTTTATTGTATCTTTAATTTTTTATTTCTATCTGTTGGCTGCGGACTTATCAGGGTTCGATAAATCTCAATCGTTTTTTCCAATCAAATCCAATTCCTTGCCCAAATTTCAAAATCCTAAACCCTTGCATTTTCTTCTGGCATGATCCATCAATGGCCATATTTTATTGATTTTCTTCCACATAGCTATAGGTTGTTCATCGCAACAGCTGTCGTCTAATATGCTTCGCATCAAACTTTCCAGAGAAAAAATAAGAATTTTAACTGTTTTCCATCAACAAAGCTCTTTTTTGCACGTTTGGAGGCATTGAATATGAGGACATTACTCGCTACCGCTCAGCGAAGCCACTGAATATTCTTTTTTGGCTTTTTTCCAAAATATTTTGTCCAAGGTAATTTTTTACCGTGCATCAGCAAATACTTTGGTAACCACAATGTTCAAAAACAAAAGGTGCAAAACGAGATGTAAAGCCTGTTTTCAAAAGAGAGCCTTGGCTAAGTTAATTGCATTTTTCCGTAAACAGGATCAACACCATAAATTGCTATTGATCAAAAACAACGTGAGCAAAATAATTAATAGCTTTTTATTACTAGACCTAATGACTGCAAAATAATCAAAGAATTCAAAGACGAGAAGAAGCCTGAGCAAAACAATTAGTGTTGTATTAGAACGGCTCGAAAAATAATAATAGCTGAGCCTTTTTTTGAAGTAGTACCAAAATATTAAATATGATACCCTTTTTTCATGAATAGCTTCAACAACAAAATAATTTGTGAATCCTCATTTATAAAAGCAGAGCAAGATGATTAGTGAAAAAGTATTGTTCGAAATTCCATCAGCAAGATCCATTTTTTAAGAGAGTATGTACAACAAAAAAAATTGTGAAAATTCATTTTTGAAAACGGAAAAAAGAAAAATAATCAGATAATTTTAATCTCAGAAAGCACATCATCAAAATAATTGCATGCCTCCACTTTTTTGAAGAGTTCGAAATCTTCCGTGTGCACTCTCTATTATATTGAAAGCAGAATGAGCAAAACAATTAGCAAAAGCTTATTTCCGGAACTATCATCAGCGGAATAACTTGAAAAAAACAATTTTAGGAACAAAATGACTATACACACAAACAACAGCAACAGACAACAAAATGACTAAACAATTTGTGGGGCATCATTTCTATAAACGGCATAAGCAAAACAATATAGAAAACCCTTTTTAAAAATAGTGTTGTGAAACAAACTGAATATTTTTGTTTTGAAAATACAGCAAAATAAATTGTAAAGTCTCGAGTCATTCCTCACTTCTCACGACTTTTTTTTTCATCACTTCTCACGACTTTTTTTGACAAAGAAATTTTCAAGGAGATATTTGAATTGGAAGAAGTTTCTATTCACTCAAATGTGTATTTTAAGGGAATTCAAGGTTAGCAACGTGAACCCTGCCCTCTTTAACACACGTATTTTAAATACATTCCTGACCTTTCCTGTCATGAAGATTACCCGTTCAACAAAATGAGACCTCATTTTAGATTGTGCCATGAAATCAAGTTACAGTTCATTACAATTCATGATTTTATAGTAATTTCCTCAGAATATCCAGTGACATTCAAAAATGCAGAAATCGGTGCCTCTGACCTCATAACTCTCTGAACCTGTCGAGACCGAACGGCCGACCCCAAGGCAGTGAAAAGCTTGATAGGGATAGGCTTTTTCGAACGGGTCGACCAAGGGACTACTTATGTGGTGGGTTTTGTTCATCTTCCTGATTGATTTTTAAGGACCCTAGTTTCGAATACTGGATCGATGCTCGTCTAGGCCACCTGAGCCTTCCATCCCCCCGTACCTGCTTTATTGGTGCCAGTCTCGTTTTAGAATATAAAAGCACTGATTTGTACATCGACCACTACAACCCATTGTATAGGCCATTCACACAAACTGCCGTTACGATTCTGAATGGAAGCCGAATGCGGTATGCATCCCTCAAAAAGGACCGATCAACGACAAAGACAAGTTCTCCGGCAAACGAAGAGATAAGGAATCATTTCCCTCACAAATTTCCTACCCTTGCTGGCTTCATTTTCGCCGTACATAAAGGAACGCTGCCCTTTTGGCATGAAACTAGAGATGGTCATTTTTTTCAAAGCTTGCTTAAATCGTTCGAGCTTTCTCCGAGTTTATCCTTACAGCACTTTGTGGGCGTAGAGGATAAATTTTATTCATTCATTTCTCCCTAATCAATCCTCTCACTCCTGTTCATTTTTCTTCATTTTCCTATTTTCCCCAGTCGTCTAAGCTTCATCAACGTTTGGTACGTTTGGTTCCTTCATTCCAACAACCAAATTCTCTCTACCAATGCTCACTGGATCACTTTGGAAATTACTTTTGATAGGGGTGAAAATCGCCTTTCAATTCAACAAATTATTTAAATGAGGGAAAAGAGGAGGTAAATAGCAAACGGTCCCACTAGCACAGGCACATTTCAACAGCAGATCCCATATCAAATCAAAACCAGCCCCTTCTTTTCGCTCAAGTCTGCCATTTATGACGGTCTTTCGATTGAAATCACATTAGCCTGATAGGTTCTAAAGCTGGGTTGGACAGGCTCCTGCAAGCCAACAAACTGAGAAACATCCTATCAATAAGGTTTCTCAAATGCAAGTCATATGGTATGTCGCATCCAAAAAGGATCGCACAGCCCCAACACCACTTACACCAGTAGATTCCTCGCTCCAACATCTTCAAAAGGGGGAATAGATTCTTCGGATGAGTAAGATTTTTCTATTAGAAAGACTCGAATGTCAGTTCGAAATTTCCGGAAAAAGGGTCATTTTCAAGGATCATTAAGAGCAACTGGGTCTCATTATTGTGGAACATCGGCATTTCAATAACTATCGCTGCTCAAATGCTTTTTAATGACCTCATTCATCTAAATCAACGAAGCGAACCTAACGGAATCTCTAGTTTGTCCCATGCGTTCAGTAATGACATGGATGGGTCATTAGGGCTGATTTATATTGGCTCATTGACAGCTTCTGACATTTCATTAGCGTTATCGCTTCTCATTTCTCAGCCCAGACGGCTGACCCGCATTTTCAGAAATGGCCAATGTTATCCTCACAGAGAAGATCGGTCTGGGATGGGCAGTTGGTCATCACAGAGCGACACAGTTGAACAGCCCTTTTTGGTGTCGTTTGCACCACAGAAGAGGCTGCTTTTCAGCGGAATAAATTCTGCAGAATAGTATCTGCTTTCATTCCACTCTGCGCCAGGCATTTTTTTAGGGCTGGGAGACGAAGGGATAGTGTTTCGAGGCCGATATCCAAGTATGGTTAGTTTGTTCTGGAGAAAATCCTCCGTTATCCTTCATTATCATGCTTTCCCACCAGATTGGGGACCTTATTAGTCATGTTGGGCCGCGATGCTAACAGGCTATAATCAGCCTATAACCAATTCATGCAAATGGCAGTGTACGGTGAAAGCTTTCCGTCGCCCATGGGAGAAACGGAGCTTGTGTCGGGACGTGCCTGCCTGGTTGACAAGGCCTTCCTCTTTCCACGATAAACTAGTACTGTTGCTTGCTTATTCAATGTCACCGTACCTTTCATCGTCGAAGATTTGTTTTGTGAAGGTGTTTTCGTTGAATTTTGTATTTTCGAATAAGATTTTCCAGATTTTACTAACCGCTCGCCCATCCCGTGGCGTCAGCGACTTAGCGTGTCTTATACTGGCCTGGGAATTCTTCAGATGAGAAATGGTGAGGATTCGGAATCATTTCTTGCAATCCTTTCATTAAATTGTAATTTTCGTCTGAGAAAAGAAAAGGGAAATGAAAAAATTTAAAGTTTACTGAACTACTTACTTACTTCTTAACTCTAATGAGCTACGTTCGCATCCTAACTTTATCAATTTATATTGAAGAACTAACAAGTTTTTCGAAGGATATTTGTTACGTATTATAGTGGCTACAGCAGTATCTGGTATTTCCACAATTAGAGGCCAGAGCCACTAGTATCAAAAATTCGCAACCACCATTACCACTTCACCGAGACGCAGAGGATTATAGCATTGGTAGGGGTTTCAGGATCGAATCCAACCCAAGTTCTTCCCTTCTCCCCCCCCACCTCCTGTGGTCAAGAGAAAAGATCTGTATTGTATTCGGGCAGATCCTACACTGTACAGCTCCTGTACGGCTTGAATTGCCAGTAGAATTCTGTGAGCACAAGAGGATGATAGGATAGACAACTACGTATTGTATATACATACGATATGATAATCACACAGTTATAAATCGTATCCATTCCATAAAAGTAACTATTACATATAATGCATATGTCAAACGAGGCAATTTCAGTTTTTTGTTTAACCGAAAAACTGGTTCTGTACCAGTTTTTCGATGTGAAATAGGTAATTCGACAGTGATTCGTCCTGATTCTCAGCACACTTGAATTACTTCCGGAATTTCATTGCCTGTGCTTCCCGCTACTTGCGCTCGTTAAACGAAAGGGATAGAAAGCATATAGTCAACGAGATTCGCTAAATTTGAACTTTGAACTATGTGCGAGGAGGCAGCGCATCTTATCACTGTGCTTCCTTGGTCCCCAACTGTGTAGCCCTTGACTTTGAAGGGATTGAAAGCTTGGCAGACAGTGCAATTTACCAACGAAACCAGAATTGTAAACTGCCCCTGGATGAGTCCAGTAGGTTTCACCAAATCCTTCTTTGCATCCAAAAAACACTGCGAAGGTGTATATAGATAGTTTCAAAGTCCCGCCCACTCTATAGATCACGCCCCTTTATATCGATAGTAGTGAGTCTGAATAATGAAACTAAATAATTCTAATGAATTCCATGATTTTTTATTTGTTGACTTCTACCGAGTTCATTACTTTTAATTGTTTTTAGTGACTGACAAAACTAATCAATTATAACTCCTAAATCAACTTTTTATCGTTCCAAATTGGCGATTTTAGGCATTCCACTGGCAGTCAAACGTAAATGTACAACATGTCGGTGTGGACGACATGGTACTGCTCAGCAAGCTTTCAGAACAATCTATTGCTGATAATCTGAAGAAAAGACTTCATGGAAATAGTATTTTTGTAAGTATTTGCTTCAAGTACTTTTACTAAAAACTGTTTAGCAGCATCTAGCTAAACGATAACTAACGACTTTGGAAAATGAAACTGAGCAGGAATCTAAATTACTCAAGTGCTAGTTCTAGTAACTTATTAATTACTGAATCATAGGAAAGAAATTTCTTGTCCTCTTTTGTGTGGGTGAAAATCAATAACTCTGTCTAAATTAATGGATCAGCTAGGAAATCAGGTGCAAAGGTCCCAAGCAGATTATAAAAGTCTATGAGTGTTTATGCAAACTACATATGTTCAAGCTTCTTCCCAAATTTTCTGATTCAAAAAACTTGATTTTTATCACGTTCTGAAAAGCAATGCACATAAGCGTTATAAAAATTATCGAGAAAATTCGGTCAATATTTTGAAAAGACTTCGTTTTTATCATAATTTATCTTAATCATCTCTGTCGACAATTGAGAAGAGCAGTGGCTCGTCAAAATCGAGGGTTAAGCAGAACAAGTTAAGAGAACTCTTTTTATTGGTTTTTATAATGTTTACAAATCCACATGGCCGTTTCCCACCTGGACCATCCCATTTAAAAAAAATACTATTTCCTCCTCCCAAGCTCAATCAATCGAGAGGGGAACGTCATGGCTTGAAATCGCTAAAAAAATCTTTAGAAAGAAACCTCTTAGTGTTTCATTGCTGGGTAACCCTAGATAGAGATCCCTAGACAGATAGAGATCACTGACAAAGCTTGTTACAAATGAAAGAAGCGAATATAGTAGAATAAGTCTTCAGCTTCGAAAAAAAAAAGCGAAGGACTGCAAGCACGCCTTCTCTTTTCTGATGAATTAACCGGCCACTCACCAAGCCATGAAAACTACGACTGAATCGTCCCATAGAGGGATCGCCTTTATATAGCACTACCTTGACATATCAATGACACATTTGTACAAGTCAACTGCTGGTTTAGCATGGAATGACAGGATTGACAGGTTAGAACAGGGTCACTACTGCTCTTGCTCACCGCTAAGGGCGTGATGCGTTCGCCGCATCCGCCGCTTATCGCAGGGATGCGATGGTTGATTGGGGCGCGCAATGTATCAGACAGACTTGCTCTGGGTGCGCTTCGTTGCGCGCGTCCATCGAAACTAGGTCACGCCGCAGTCGTCGCATGCGGCGGGCCAGCCCGCGACACTTGACAAACGTCGCAATTGTCAGCGGGGCATACGAATTGCGCTTGATCCACAACAGTTTGCCAAGGAAAAGATAACGCGGACAAATGCTAATCACTCGCTCCACCGACACTTGGTGGCACTGTAATGCCGTCTCGAGATCACAGTGGGGTGCGCCGCGCGCGAAGTGGGCGGGGTGACCTACTTTCAACGGACGCGCGCAACGGACGTTCTCCATTTGCTCTGGATGGCTGGATGTCGGCTGAAACCTTTAGAGATCAGTCCCGAAACAGAAAGGAACGAAAAAATAATCAAAGCAAACCATAAAAGCAAAGCAGATAAGTAAAAAATTGGGAACTGCCGATTAGCGAGAGGAGTACCGAATACGGTAATTGCAGTTTAGAGCGCGAGACGACTAGATAAGATTTGCTGCATGAGGCAAAGCGAACGTGGGAATTCGGGTTAAAGTTCTGGCACCCACAAGTTTCGAATAAAGGCCTGAGTCCAGTAATCGGTTCCAAAAGTGGATCAATGGGCGGATAAGGAAGCAATGCCAATTTGGATACGGACATTAAAAAGGCGACGATCCGTCAGTAAGAGGATGAAAGCCGTGACTTGTACATCGCCTAGCCACCTTGATTCATTGTGTGAACCACATAAGCATTCAGAGTGCCACTAGGATCATGAATTTTGGTCGCAGAGGGAACGGCATCTCAAAGAGGGTATTGCTTAGCATCAGTATCTTTGCCTTTTTGTATAATAATTCTTTTCAATAATAAAAAATCTGGCGCCTTTGCATTTGTTCGGTGAGTGTTAAGTGCACGGCGCAGTCCATAATAGTTGCAATGCCACGGACTTAAACTTTTTCGAATCTACATAGGAGCTCTCATGAATCCTAGCCATCAGAAAAGTTCAAAAGATTTTCAGTTCTTAGTTTAATGTACTGATGAAACCTCCTTTTTTCAGACTTATATTGGTCCTGTACTTATTTCGGTGAACCCCTTCAAACAAATGCCATATTTCACTGAAAAGGAAATGGATCAGTATCAAGGAGCTGCACAGTATGAAAATCCACCACATATCTATGCTTTAGCCGATAACATGTACAGGTACGGTACTTTTATTGGTTAAAAAAACTATTTTTACTACAGGTTTAAAATGAACTTCATGTCAAAATTCTTAATTTAATCGGTCAAATTTAGGAATATGCTGATAGATAACGAGTCTCAATGTGTGATAATTAGTGGTGAAAGTGGTGCTGGAAAAACAGTTGCTGCCAAATATATTATGAGTTACATCGCCCGGATATCAGGTGGTGGACCAAGAGTTCAGGTTTGTGTAGAGTAATCTCTGGGTTGTGTTGAACTTTTCCCAGTTCAAAGTTCAAGTAAAAAACAATTTTTTTCTGTTTTGACGTTGATAACGAAAATATCTCTGCTTTCCGTGACGATTCAGGGTAAAAAGTACTGATTAGCAATCGAACCACTATATACATTGAAAGAAAAGGCCCTTTTCACGAAATTTATTCAGGAATCCACTTTACATGCCGGGTTTTTTTTAGCATGTCAAAGATGTGATCCTGCAATCAAACCCTCTTTTGGAAGCGTTTGGAAATAGCGCTACGATCCGAAATTGGAATTCTTCACGTTTCGGCAAGTACGTTCAGATAGTTTTTGGCCGAGGAGGAGAACCAATTGGTGGCAAGGTGAGTGAAAGATATTAGCAAAAAACTACTTCACTTGATCCACGGCCAGGATTTAGCCCAAGTAAGTCCCTAAGAACTAGGGCTTGTTGAATTTTTTCGGATGTGTGCAAATAGCAACAGTCCTCGGAATTGTATTCAAATACTACTTGAACAACAAAAACTGCAAGCCAGAAGTCCCTTTTAGCGGGAACGAGTGACATTTGGTCTCTGGACCTACTTGCAGCCCCTATTTACTCCTAATCCGTCACAGCTCCCTTGAAAATATTGATCGATCTCCAATGATTATCGAGATACGTAGAAGAGAAATGTAATATTTAGGTTACGAACTTTCTTCTTGAAAAATCACGTGTGGTTCGACAAAATCGTGGTGATCGGAATTTCCACATTTTCTATCAACTCTGCGCTGGTGCAGACAAAAACATCAGATGTGAGCTTTCAAGTTCTTGTAGCGAAGAGAATTGTCATCTAAGAATTTCCTCGGTAAAAAAAGAAAAATAAAAGTGGTATGAACGAAAGAATGATAGTTCTCATGAAGGAAAGGACGAATCTCAAGAGGAAGCTCCAATAACCACCAGTATTTCTTACCAGATCCATAATAGCTTTTTGTTTAGTCATTATTTTACTTCCCTATCGATTAAGTAAAAAAGCTGAAATCGAGTGTCTCATTAGAGTGATTATCTAAGAAGTGCTTTTTCACTGATTCGTTTTGCATAGCACAGATTTCACTGTTTCACTTTTACTCTTTAATGGTAAGCGGTTGACTCGGTAATTTTGTGAGATTGCTATCGCATTTAACAGTAAGCACTTCTTAGACTATGACCCTGGTGGGGCAAGCATGCGGAGAAGTGTTTGGTAAGACCTTCCCATGATAAGGCTTTTTGAGAAAAAAAANAAAAAAAAGTCCTCAGCTGAGTGATGGTTTGCTTTTGCTGATCGCATATTTAAGATTTTACAACACTCTTTAAATGCCAATTATTTCGAGAAGTGGTGTAGTGACCAGGTTCAGTGATCAAACTCCGGACCATCAAGCCTACCATCCCTCAAATGCCGGTTAACTAGAAGTAGAATGGTTTGGGAAGGTAAAGGCAGAGTTATATATGGGCTGGCCACCGAAATTCTTTGTGTAGACCCCATGCGCATTCAAACCGTTAATAGAATTTCCATTAGAAGTCAAGCGCGAGGCGCATTCAAAAAGAATATTTTCATTCTTGAGAGACCTGTTGTCAAAATAGAGTTTTGGTGCTGAAGCTCAGAAAGCAAGTGTTCTGCAGCGAGACGTACATACAGCGACCCACCAAAAACTGAACCGGGGACTTAACAACACAAAAGAAGCATCCTCCCGACTGATACTGCAACATAAATGGAGATTTCCCATGAAACATTCAGTTGAACGCATTAAAATCGTTTTCTGCACACACTTTTCGTACCATCCGAGTTCAGCATTACTCACGTTTCATCTTACTTTCGTCCATTTATACTCCAAGCATGGTTCACTTGCAGCAACACTTGGCATCGGAGATCTCGATTACTTCAACTACCTTAATCACAGCGGCGTATATAAAGCTCCAGATACCGACGACGCCAAGGAGTTCCAGAATACATTGGTCAGTGACTTATTTTGCGAAACTTCGTTCATTTTGTAGAGCCTTTAAGCGCCCTGTCAAGGAAGTTTTTCGCCCCGAAATTGTTCCACGTGTTATTCTCGAGGGCCCACTTGTTCATCCTCAGGGGAAATCTCAGGAACCATTTCGTGAACCGTGGTTTCACTTCATAATAGAATTTATACCGATGTAATCGCTAAAGAATCGCTAAAAATAATAAAAATAAAATAGTCCAAAAAATAAGCAGACACCTATGGGTGACCCAAAATGTACAAACACCTTCTGCTGGTGATTGCTACACTTTATGATATGCCTCCTTCTTAGAAAAAAGAATTTTTCTGCTTTGATTTACCCTTTCCAGCATGCGATGAAAGTTGTGGGCATAAGCGAAGAGGTACAGTTGGAAATTCTTAAAATTGTGTCAGCCATACTGCACATTGGAAACATCACATTTGTGGAGGAAAGGAACTTTGCCGCGATTGAAGCCCCAGACTGTGAGCTTAATTTTGAATTTTTTTTTTGCAGTTGGAAAATGGAAGTAGAATACATTTTCGTATAAATACAAACAGATAAATAGTCAAAAATAATGATTAATTAATCAATAGTTAAATGGTAAAGTATTTTAGTTTAAAATGATTTCAGTCTTACAATTTCCTGCATTTCTTCTTGGTCTTTCAACAGAAGCCATCCAACAAAAGCTCACTGCCCGAATGATGGAAAGCAAGTGAGTGATATATTTAGGTAGTTCTACTTATACTCACTTATAATTGGATATGCAATGGGGATTCCAAACTATAAAAGGGAGAGCTTCTGATTGAACGAGTTTCACTATAAATATGACCGACTTGTAAACTGATCTGTGGGTTTGTATCAGCGCTTTTGAGTCCTCAGTTCTTTTTAGGTTTAAGTTTTAGATCCTTCACAGTTTTTACCCTCTTGCCCATACAGTTTGTCTGACCACTTGTCCATTTATTGTATTTCCGAAGAAGACTATCCATAATTCTAAGTTGATAAGCGCCGACACCTAACGACTGTACAGTATACAACCTCTCACCTCTAAATTATAATGTATTGCAGATGGGGAACGAAAACGGAACGAATAGATGTCACATTAAATGTGGAACAAGCAAATTACACTCGCGATGCATGGGTGAAAGCTCTTCATTCGCGACTGTTCGACTACCTAGGTAAGTTCTTGGGTGCAGCTTCAATCTGTGGTAACTGAAAGAGTCAGCTCTGGTGAAGAATTTGAAACCTTGTTGTTTCTTCATAGACGCAGACGTTCAGGGCTTGGACGGCTGGGACTAAGCGAAAGAGGCGAAGAAAAAGACGGTAACAAAATAATCATGGTCTTTAACCAAAATCTTTTTGAAATAGCTCCAAATCCAAAGGAGGCGGCTGCCAACCTTGCTTATCTTTTGCTCGAACTAACCATTCACCCCCAACCTGGTGCTTCCATCCTCGGTATAGGATGAAAACTCTATTGGCATAACTCAAGGTCGTTTCTTAGCATCACTACAGGAATGGCAAAGTTGGCGCCTATCTCTCTCTGCACCTTCTCTCGGCGTCACAAATGCATAATAGAAGGTCTTTTCTCAAATTTTTCCCCCTATATCTTGTATGTTCACTACCTTTACACTACGGGTGTTCAGCTCGTTGAGTAAGAGTACAACCCTTGTATGCTGTATCTCATGTCTCAAAATGAGGGGCTTCTAGTCAAAAAGCGCACTGTTCGTAAATTTTTCCCGCGACGGCCGTGCGCGGCGAATGTCGAGCTTCCGACTGCACGCCTTTACCAGAGCCACAGAGCTTCAGTCTCTATCAATATCCCATGGCCTTTCAATTTCAATCACAATTTCAGTGGCCGCTGTTAATGACGCTATAGAAGTTGCCGACGGTCAAGATACGGGTCTTTCAATTGGAATTCTAGACATCTATGGGTTCGAAATTTTTGAAAACAATGGATTCGAGCAATTCTGGTGATTTTTTTATTATTTGAAGAAACATTTTAGAATTCCATGGGAAAGTTGTTTATTTCAGTATCAACTTTGTCAACGAGAAACTGCAGCAGATTTTCATTGAGCTTACTTTGAAAGCCGAACAAGAGGAATACGTACGGGAACAGATTCGTTGGCAAGAAATTGACTACTTCAATAACAAAGTTGTCTGCGATCTTATTGAAGCAAAACGACCACCTGGTAGGTTTTTTTCAGAGAGTAAGAGAAAGTCATTAATGTAGGAAGGGGAACTGGGAACCACAAGATGGAAGCTTGTTTCGAAAAGTTAAGCAGATCCTAAAGGCCCTGGGATACATCTGGCGCGCTGCAAGTTACTGTAAAGCTTCGCAACTTCACAAAGTCCTTTCGTTAAAATCAATTAATTCGGTCGTATCGATCCGAATGAAATGATTTTGAAGAATTTCATTCATCATTACTATCAAAAAATACAAAAATACCACCGAAACCCAAATTCGGATCTATTTTTGATCTTGAATGTTTCAAAAATCAAGAGTGCTAGCGAGCGCTCCACCCACCTTGTTCATGCCCCGCCTACCCTATGAAACGTACATTATGCCCCTTCTCAATCAATAAGAGCCATGTCAGAACGTTCATACTTCAGCCAAACAATTCGCAGACCTCTCAAAACCTTTCTTACTCATAAAGTTTTCTGTAGCTTGTCTCATACCGTTCTACAAAAGTATATTATATCTCGATCCAGTGTCTCGATCAATTACCTTCAGGGATCATGTGCATACTGGATGACGTCTGCGCCCAGAATCACGGACAATCTGAAGGTGTCGATGCACAATTGCTGAGTAGTCTCAACAAAACTTTCATTCAACATCCCCACTATCAAAGCGGAGCTGAATGCTTTTTGGTAAAGCACTACGCTGGTGATGTGAGTAAAATTTTGATACTACTACTAAAGGGTACCGATGGAATAACAAAATACTACGTTCACGCTATGCTATATGGGCCACTTGGTGTTTATCAATCCCTTCTGGAACGCGCCATGTTCTTGATTTGGATACTAGTTGATTATGATGTTTAAATACGTAGTTAGGTGTCAGCTTACTCAGTCATTTGCGGACTGCTGTAGCGGCACCATTTACCTAAACCCACCTAACTCTATTTTACAAAGCCAGGGTGATCAAGTATAAAAACGGGCACATGGCGCAGTTGTGCAAAAATATTGGCTTCATAAAATGAGTTCCAAGGGTGGGAATTAATTCGAAAAAGAAGGTCAGTTGATTCGAAAAAAACCACTGAGAGCTGGATACTTATTATTGAAGGAATGGAAAGGAGGGCCATAACTAGTCAAATAATTGCAAATTTTAGAAAATGCCGAAAGGAATAAAACCTAGGCACAAATATTGATTTAATTTATAATTTATGAAATTATACAAATATATAATTATATCAGTAGTAATCGATGATTTTGATTTTGCCAGTATTTCAGGTTGTCTACAGCGTTGACGGGTTTTGTGAACGCAACAGAGATGTTCTCTATCCGGATCTCATCCTTCTAATGCAGCAAAGTTCAAAGTATGCAGTTTAATAAATAAAGTAACAACTAAGCAAACAAATGATCAGTAAACAATCAGAAATCTTAAAATCAAAGATAAAAGGATAAAGTTTTTGGCGTTGATCAACCATCTCACGAGCGACCGGCGACCGGTCGCGCGACCGGAAAACTCCTTTACCCTATACAAGTACCAATAATCTACTGATCTCTATAGATTCAAAGGGTGCTCATTTAAATGAATTATAACCTCAGTATTTTACTTCATTTCAGTGCATTCCTCCGCTCCCTCTTCCCTGAAAATGTGAATGCCACCGCAGGAAAACGGCCGACTACAGCATCAACAAAGATCAGGGTGATTATCCTCAATCAATTTCTAAAACGTTCAAAGTATTCTTGAAATATTAAACCTAATTAAGTGTAGAAAGCAAGGAAAAAGTTGCAAAGGAAAAGTAAATAGATCTGAAGATAATTTTCAAAAGTCTCTTATACTGTTGCCTACAGTTTCAAACACATTCTTTACTATGCCAAAGCTGGGCACCCCTTTGGTCTGAGGGTATTCCCATAAATTGCAAGTTTCTAGTAATTTTTTTCTAGAATTTTTCTATATTTTCTATTTTTTACGATTTTCCCACAAAACTATGGCTTATTGATTGGAGTGATCACAATAAAATAAGGATTCAGAATCAAGCCAACGCTTTGGTCGAGTCTCTGATGAAATGTACACCACACTATGTCCGATGTATTAAGCCGAATGAGACGAAGAAACCCGGCGACTGGGATGACCAGAGGTGATTCCCAAGAGCCTAGTGGATTGCTGTTTTCGGCTGATCATCAACAAGTTTACTGCTTTCAGAGTTCGTCACCAAGTTGAATATCTCGGTCTTCGTGAAAATATTCGGGTACGACGGGCTGGATTTGCTTATCGTAGGGCTTTCGAGAAATTCCTATGGCGATATGCGATTCTGACCAGTGAAACATGGCCAACCTATCGCGGTGATCCACGCCAGGGTTGCCAGGTATGACAAGTTTCGCGAATACTTTACTATTACAACAATAATGTTGCTTCTCCTCGGCATTCGTGGAGGCTGCTCAGCGAGCAACACTTATTAGGCATAGTTTCCCTAAGGAACCTTGGTATTCCTGTCAGATTCGATAGTCATAAATAGATCGCCCTTAGTTGTTACTCAGCAAGGTTTCAAGAAAGTCTTTAGTGGTCCGACTTTGTTTGAGACCACCCAGAGAGCCGTTCCCTTTGGTTCTGATCGTGAGAGAACCTACGATTTCTCTAGAACCTTCTCCTATTAAGCTTGGGAATCGGTTTCCACCATGTTGAGAAACCTTTCCTTCCATGTTGAGAAATCTTTCCTCCGACAGAAATGTGTTCTTTCCAGATCATCTGCCGCAGTGTGAGCATGGATCCCGATCAATATCAAATGGGAACGAGCAAAATATTCATCAAAAACCCAGAATCGGTGAGTAACCCAAACAAATAAGATTGTAGACTCGATACTGGATAGGCTAGCAGGAACTTTTCCGTAGACTTCTCTGTTACACTTGCTAATGCCTTACAATTTCGCCAAAACCTATGAAAATACAACCCAGAGGCGAGGTATTTGCACTTTGTTAGAAAGGATCCGCCTTATGGAACCAAGTTCTAGCTCATCAGACGATCATCACTGTCTTGTTAATGATCAAACAATTTTTCCAGCTGTTCTTACTGGAAGAGGTTCGTGAAAAGAAATACGACGGTTTTGCCAGAAAGATTCAGAAAGCATGGCGGCAGTTCAACGCCAGAAAACACCATACGAAACAAAAGGTACATCCCTTTTCTCATTCGTTTATCAGTCGTGAAATAGCATGAAATTAATTCCCATACTCCTTGGCAAAACAATAGTTGGCCATTTAGGAACAAGCATCTGATCTTCTATTTGGCAAGAAAGAACGGCGACGTTATTCACTGAATCGAAACTTTGTCGGCGATTACATTGGCCTGGAACATCACCCCGTCCTCCAGGTGAGTCAAGTCACCCTCCTATTGCCCATTCTTTGGTTATGGGAATGTCCTCACAGAATGAATACTGGTAATCTTCCAGAGTCTTGTTGGCAAACGGGAACGAGTGGATTTCGCCAATACTGTGATCAAGTATGACCGGCGATTCAAGGTAAAGCTTTCGAGTGTTTTGGACCGTTAATCAGCTGCTTATGAGGCCATCTATATGAAAGTCAAATAGTAAAGGGCCACTAGGTGATGGGTTGGAGATACAATGGACGAAGCTGCAGTCCTACTTTCTATGAAAACAGCTAAAATGAAAAAAGCAGTTTTTCGAAAAATCCCGCCGACTTTCCCAGGGGTTAAGAGCTCAACAGGAGGCAATTTTCCTTAAATCGAATGAATTTCTACTGGAAAATTACCTCAATCTTTTCATATTGTCCCCGAGTCCAAACGCACCCTGACCAGAGTAAAAACTGGCCACGCCCCCTTCCCAGATATCCTTTACAAGTGGAATTTTCACGAAATTTCCCCAAAATTTTCTCTTTAGTTATTTCCGATCGTTTACTGTATTTTTCAATATTTTACTCCCTAATTCCTAATATTTAGACCTCAAAGCTGGATATGCTTCTCACCGCAAAACATCTTACATTGATTGGACGAGAAAAATCGAAGAATAAAGCCGACAAGGGTCGCTTGATCGAAGTGGTCAAACGGTAAGAACATCGAAGAGCTCGGTTACAGAAGTACGATGAATTCAATCGATTGATTAAAGGCAGATCGATCTGGCACACATCGCATCGATAGGCCTATCCCCATATCAGGACGATTTTGTCATCATCAATGTTCGTGATAACTACACCTCATTGATAGAGACCCCATTCAAGACGGAATTTATCACTTCGTTAAGGTACTGTAGACACCGTACTCTTAAAATTTTCTTTGTCTTTAATTTATAGCCTTATGACCATTTAATGATTTTTTCAGCAAACACTTCAGAGAACGAACCCGTGGAGGTATTCTTCAGCTCGAATTTGCTACTAGTCATACGATCACTTTGAAAAAGACCCGATTCGGTGGCGGCACCCGGACCGTACAGTTCCATTTGTCTGGTGGTAGTGCACAATGTGAACTGAAACCCGAGGGTAAAACATTGCACGTAACCATTGGGAAGGGATTACCCAATACCACACGTGAGTACCGTTCCTTCATCCATACGCCCCAGTCTTATTAAAGGGAAGGGGCCTAATTCGTACTCTCCAGGTCCATCCATGACAAGACCGAGCACCGGTTACCAGCGACGAGTTGATCGTCTACGGACATCGACCCGGAAAACGAATCGAGCAGCTCCGCCAACTCATGCTGTTCAACAAATGAATCTTTCTCATGGGATGACCAATGAGGTGGGATTCACTTATGAGTCTGACGATATACAAATATGTAACAAAATCGATGTTATATAAATAGTATTATATCAGTTTTGCGCTGAATTTCCCATAGGACACTCTTCCTCCAAGTCACACCTCGCGCTCTTTATCTTCTTTACCTCACTCACTCCTGTAGCGTCATAGAGCTTTACGCAGCCGACTGAAGGATTACGCGGACATGGCCGTGACATACACTGATATGGTCGAACGCGGAATGGTCAAACAGATTGTGGTGATGTCTCCTTCAAAGACTGGGAAGTAGCCAGAAAAATTTGAGATTGTTGTACCTTGCACTGATCCAAAGCACGGAAACGAAACTTTTATCGCTGCCTCCCAAACAGTTCTTCGGGTAAATATTCAACTAAACTTCGCTCAGGACAGCCTGAACTTCCATGGCAATATCCCTCTATGCCTTTCATATGGTAACCATGATGACTTGCAGTTCTTGAAAATACTTCTGTGACACTCAGCGATGGCTGAATAGAGAGCTGCTCTTTATAGGCGCAGTTATAATCAAAAAATGTCTGGGCAAAACAGTTGAATAGAGGGTTCGAAGCCTTCGACAACTATGTGTTATTCAGCTGCCTGCGTCAGTGGTTGATCGACGGCCGTCAGTACAAAGCGGCCAAAGTCAAGTTTCTAACGGTGAAAAGTCGAATAATTCATGGAATCAATCGACAACAACGAGTGTCAGTTCTGCAGGTGAGATACTCTTGGTAATAGCTCTTACCGAACTGATTATACTTTTTGCCTGATCCTACATTGACATACAGTCCATCAGCGTAGAGTTAAAATCGTTTGACTTTAGGAAATCCAACTCGTTACGGTGGAGTTCCGACAGCCTTCGTTCCACAAGGACAAATGGAGTTAAGAGCGGTGAGTACAGCGCTACGAGCCTACACATCGGAAACTTTTTTTATAGTCCGCACCCCGTTTGACAGTATTCACGATAAAATTAAATGCCGAGTTTCCATCGAACAACTAGCATTTGTACCGATAGATTTATAGCATTTATAAAGGAAGCTATTCAAAATGTTTGATAAAGTGGTAATAAACTAGTCAGTCAAGGGCAGGACCTTTGTGACGCAAGACAGTCTCTGTAAGAGTTTTCTTGAGCATCCTAGAGTGTTCTGGAAAAATCTATTCATGCATGATTAGGGGCTTATAAGCCTATGATCTTTCCTTTTACGGTATTATTAGAATATCATAAAACAAAACTCTTTTGGACCAATCAAGGGCGGGACCAAACTGCCGCAGAAAGTTCGGACCCTTTGGTATTAAGAGCGTTCTCGAATAAGCAACTAACGGGCTTCTCCATCTCCACTGAGGGAATGTATCGCCTCTCAGAGAGAGCTCGGCATTCACTTAATCGTGGATGCTCTTTTGAGATATATTATAGAAAATTCTGATTTCCGAGAAGACGTTTTCTGTTTTTTTTTCTACTTATCGGCATTCATCTTAGGCGTTGCAAGCGAGATTTATGAATAACTCAAAAGTATTTCCTCGTGTTGATGTATCTGAGGCATCAGGAAGCACAACAGTAAGTGGCTGTGGCTCACTTCGATAACAGACTTTGTCTGCGTGACCCCCAAAGGCAGTGGGTTCGATAAATGAAAACGTGCACAGGCAACAATGGAAACAAAACGGAACATTTTGAATTTTTTCAACGATAGGGAGAGAAAGAATAGGTTCTTTGAAGGGGTGTCTGGATGAAGAAGTTCATTGTGGGGCATTAAGCAAGCTCAAAAACTTACCTATGACCACTGGGCACGTGTCACCGGTTGATGCGACGAAATAAGAGTACCATGTAGTGATCAGCTGTGAAGCTGAGGTAAGGCTTTTGAGCCCAAGAGTTCGTGTAATAGTGCAAAGAAGACTTCAATCGGACAAAGTGTCCAAGAAAATCCTGAAAAGTAAAAATCGAGTGGAACTGTACCAAGCCGGTGTCATTCGACATCATGTTGCACACGAAGACAGGCATGACGAGGGAAAGAGTTGAGCCATAGTAACGGCAGGCAACCGACGACCAAAAACTGATGGTTGGATCACTAAAGAGCGGATGGGGCCTGGAAAGGGTTGCTCTCGATCACTTCAGTTGATTTGCGAGTTTGGCTTCGACGGTAGATCTAAGAAAGGGATGGCGCCAGCCCACGCTCTTTACTGTAGGCACCCATCTAAACACGGGTGTACGAGCGGCACTTGATGTAGCAGAGAGCTTTTCTGGAGGTGATCCCTTCTCGTTGGATAGTGGTCCCAAAGAAAGGTCAAAAACGCTAGAGCACTTGTAATACCTATCAACTACCATACTTGTCCGTTTCAGGGCCGTATAATGAGTCTTTAAAAGCTCAAGTCAGTTATCGAATCTACTGCCTTTCAACGTCCGTTGCTGGGCTTTCGCTCATCTCTATCGTCTACTGATGTTTCTCACATTTTCCTGCTTGAGCATGAATTTTCTTACCCACTTCCATAAGGCTAACAGTAGAGAGCTGTAGTTNCCATCTAAACACGGGTGTACGAGCGGCACTTGATGTAGCAGAGAGCTTTTCTGGAGGTGATCCCTTCTCGTTGGATAGTGGTCCCAAAGAAAGGTCAAAAACGCTAGAGCACTTGTAATACCTATCAACTACCATACTTGTCCGTTTCAGGGCCGTATAATGAGTCTTTAAAAGCTCAAGTCAGTTATCGAATCTACTGCCTTTCCCTGTCCTCGCTGGGCTTTCGCTCATTTCTATTGTCTACTGATGTTTCTCACGTTTTCCTGCTTGAGCATGAATTTTCTTACCCACTTCCATAAGGCTAACAGTAGAGAGCTGTAGTTGTTGATACAAAAATTGATTAGAATCCGCCAGATTTCAATCCCGAATAAGGTTGATCAATGGAAATTCTTTAGAAGTAACTTTCAGGCTGACGTCCGACCCGCTCCAAGACCAAACAAACCGAAACCACCGACAAAGCCCCGCTTGTATCCGGTGGTTCGAGCAATGTACGACTACGATGCTCAAGATACGGACGAGTTGTCATTTTCAGTCAATGACGAAATCGAAGTCATGCAAAAACGTAAGTTCAGTTCATGTCCAGATAACTCTAGCCGTAGCTTCCCACATTCTTTCCCGTCCTACTAGTTTTTATGGATATTTGCCAGCCAAGAAGCAATTCCAATCCGCAAACTCGTCTTAGCCCTCTCCCAAGTAAACGATTGATTAGCTTCCAAATCTCAGAGTTAAAATCGAGTAATTTTATATTATTTTTTTTGTAAAGTGATCAACTTCTTTCAGATGAGTCCGGATGGTGGCAAGGAAAAATAGGCACTAAAATTGGGCTGTTTCCAGCTAACTATGTACAGGAATAGTTCGCACCAGCAGATGTTTTTAAATGGCAGCCGATTCAGGAAGTATCTCCGATGGGTTTGTGCACTTGAGGTTCTTAGCAACTAAGTGACAGGCTGCTGTTAATAATGAGACAGAAAATGCTATCTATTACCTATACCGTGCATCTACTTGTGAGTATTACCAGATCGATAAAAAACTTTTTGAAAACGCACTCCCAATGCTTTACATTGATGAGTATGCAGCCATATTCCGAGATTTAGAAATAAGGAGCTCATAATGCAATTGATTTCGCCCATCCATTCCACAAATTTCATCGGATTTGTAGAGTTGAGAAGGTATCCAAGGGCCGTCCACCTACTGCCCTTGAATACCCAGTCTGCCTGGATATTCAAGAGCAGTAGGCGCCTCTTACATATTCGGATAGTCTGGCATTTGAGGGTTAACGAAATCGCAATCATTACTCTCAAGTAGGTGCAATGAGAAATCTTCAATATCACTTCGTACTACATTGCTATATTAAAAAGAAAGCAGCCTGTCGCTCGTTGTCTGAGAACCCGAAGTGACACCCACCTTAAAACCCATGTGATCAATACGAGTCCGTGATTCTACACTCTCAGCTCAATATAATGTATATGAGATAATAAATATTTACTAAAACAAGTTTATAACATGACAACAGACAACAACAAGCAAAACAACATGGAATAACAACAAATAGTATTTCATTCTTCCCAACACTCCTCCTACTCTGGAAATGTTTTCAGCAAAATAAGCTCTCCAGCTGCCGCTAGGCAGATACTAGAATAGCTGGGATCAACAACCCACGAATGACATTTCGACGGAAAAATAGACTGGTAACTATCTTAGGTTGGCGGAGTGCTTTCAGTATGACTGTTAGCCGCTAATTTACAGACTTCCGTGCATTCCATCAACATACTCTTCATACACCTGAGGTAACTTAGCGAAATCATCCAAAAAGAAATTATTAAAGTGGCGCATTTACTGTGGGCGCCTCAAAACTACAACAAAGGGGCTCAACCCGGCTGTAAAAGGCAAAATCAGGAGTTTACAGAGTTTGAGGAGGGAGGAACTTCATAACTATCTAACAGTGAGAAATTTCTGTTCGTAAACATTGAGAGAGATGAAGTGGATAGTGCATCATAACTTTGAGGACTATAATGACCTTCAAATGAAGAACTATCACGAAGCAACTCACAAACAATCAATCAAGCAGAAACAAAAAAAAAACACTGATAACAACAAAATTCACCGAAAATTTCAACGTCTTTCTATATTTGCTTTTTCTTCAGTAACTTTTTCTTCTTCTTCCTTATCGAGCCATCGTCATCGTTTTGCTGTCTTAACAAAGTTACTTCGTGAGACAAGAACTACTGAAAGGGAAACTAGAGATACAAACCGTTTTGAAGCGCTTAACGGGCGACTGTAAATCATCTTGATATCACTAGCCTGCAAGGAATTAATTCTATTGCAAAGTCGAACCACCAACAGCTGAATCATGAGTACCTTTGCCAGAGTTTTCGTATCCACATTGATTTCATACTGTGAAAGATCTTCAGTTTCTTCTAGTAATGCCTTCTTGTCACGCATCTGACGCTCTCTTATCTCCTCAGCTGCCTTGTTCAACTCGTCCTGCAACAAAGTTCTCAATACCGAATTTTTTCAGACTAGGTACTTCAGAAAAAAAGCAGTGAAGGGGTTATGAGGAGGTACCCCTTAGAAACAAGTCGATTCCGACGAAAAGATATTGTGCAACAGTACTTTTCATAACAAACGTACTAAATTTTAAAAGATGCTCTAATTGGGGCATCGATATGAGAAGAAGTTAAGCCTAATTTCTAGAAGGTTGCCTCGTAATCGAGAATATAAGCCTACTCTCTCCGAACACTTTATCTTCGGAAAAGCAGGGACAACGTGCTGCGCTGTGCTCAACAGTCAACCACACAAATATTTCTGATAAATCGGGTCATTTTCTTGCAATTTTTAATCTCACTGCTTGATGGGTCATAATCAACATCTATTCGCCTTACGAACGCGAAATTTCGTTTCAAAGAGGGGGTGCGAAATTGAAAAAAACGATAATGTCCGTTAACTATCGGTGGAAAAAAAAGGAAAAAAGAGAAGGATGAAACCAACCTCGAGACTTTCAGCCAAGGGTTTCAAGTGTGAAACAGCAGCCGACTGCTCTTCCTTGTCCACATCACGTGTCTTGTCAGGAATAAGCTCACGAATAGAATCCATACACATCGTATCAAACTCGTCCGATAATTTCCTTATGGTTTTCGATTGAAGAGCATAAACCTATAGAGTGGAAAGACAATTTCATGAAATTACTTGTGATAATAAAAAGATGAACTGATGAAGCTTAGGTGCTCTCAAAAAGAAAGTTCGGAAAGGTAAAGTCTCACCTGACTTTGGGGAATATCCAATTCTTCCTGGACATTTTCTGCATTCTTGTGTTGCAGGCCAAACCCGAGCAATACAGCGGCTTGTACAGTCGAGAGTTTGACCTTAACGGATACGTGACTGTAGCGGTAAGGTAGCAGCTAGAGAAACTGGAACGGATAGTGTACCAAGCACACCTACATTTTCCCTCAACTGATCTCCGAAATACAATCTAGATACAGTAGGAAGCAGATCAGTAATCATTTGATGATCAACCAAATTCCTCGAATACTCTGATAGCCGTTTGAGATCAACATTTGAAAGGAACATAGCCAACTGATCACGAGTGATCGCTGAAACATTGAACTTCATCAAAAACAGAGAACAATCGAGAAAAGCGAACCATTCTACACTTACTCTTCCTGCTATTACGCAGAGCTTCCGTCACTTCCTTATTCCTCACTTGCAAAAGTGACAAACCAAGGTTTATTGGTAATTTCCTGAATTCGAATGACAGCAAGGACAGCAGCCGTGTACGGAATTCACGGAAGTACGCAGCAAGCCAAGAATCGGACGATTCAGATTCATCTTGAATAAAGTACTCAAACTTGAATTCATTAAGCTTCCCGCATCGTATAATAGTTTCATTCTATTGATTACATGAATGTTGGTAGACCGAGCAGTAAATGACGATACGCTGACATTAGTTGGGTCATTGCTTTCCCTTCAAATATGTTCAAAGACCCTACGAAGTGACAGGAGCTGGGTGCCTCATTGGCTACGGCGCAGCGGTAAACGCGGTGAAACCTATCCTAAGTGAACAATGGGGGAATTCATCACACCAATCTGTGAACATCAATGGAATCCCAGGAATGCAATTATATGTTTCAAACTGAATTATGCCAATTGTACAGCAACGTAAATAAATTCTTCGATAACAAGAAATCATAGACACATATAAAGTAAAATATCACGAGGCACTGAACTCACCATTCATCCTTTTCAGCATAGCACACGTATACTCCCCAGTAAGTGGACTAGGTGTCTGACGAAGATAAACAGGTACGAAGCCGCTCTTTTTCCAAAATTTCAACAAATTCAATGTCAGTCCAAATGATACACCTAAACTATTTTCATGAAGCTACAAGAGAGATAGAAGGCACCTATTGAAAAATATCAGCTGTTAATGCACATCAAGCTGTACCGAAACCAAAGGTATGAATCTTACCTAAGTAATCCAAACGTTCCGCTTTCCTCTCAGTGAGCCGCATGAGGAGAGGTGGAAGATCAGCTCTAGGTGCTATTTGCTCCTCTAACAAAGCTACTGTATGCCCGTCCTGGAATGTCTTGGAAACATTTGAAATAAGCTTGCACGTTCATGAGCTGAACTGAACAACTAGTGACCTTTACAGTTTTTACAGATTCCTTGACACCTTCGTCAATAGATGGTACATGACCGAGATAGTACTCTTCCAAGAGTTCAAGTGTACGAGTACCATAACCCATCGACTGGAAATCGGGATGCACCGCGATTCGTACGATTCGTCCACCACAGAGCGTTGGAAAGTCGTGGTCCTGAAGAAACACTACATAACTCGGGACTCAACCAGAGGAAAACCAAAACAACACAGAAGCTATTTATTTAGAAAAAAAAAACTAACCAAAAACTGTTGAGAGATCGTCCACGGGAGCAAATCCCCAGCTGCTCTCTTTCCTTTGTTCATTGCACCGGATACAGACTCCTTTGACAAATTGCCTTCGAGACAAACTTGTGCCAGTGCAAGTACCTGAAATAAATCCATAGAATCTATGACAAAATTGATATCCCCTCGCAAAACCGCCATCACAAAACCAAATCGAACAAAAGGACTATCAAAGGAACTGCAGGTCAAATGACAACCCAAACAGGACCTCAGGAAAGTCCTCACAAAATGCATCCCACAGCTATGCTAGAACTCGCATGAATCACGTACCTCTGGTAAAGATGACTGATCCTCCTTCACTGGTGACATTAAAACGAACAAGTGATGAGCTGGAGCATCACTGAGCATCTAAACGATTCATAGAAAATAATTCATAAACCACATCAATGCAAAGCAAACTTTATAGTTCTGACTGCGCACCTGTAAATCATTTGGTGAATTTTTATAATGAGCAGCTACATAGATCGCCATGATCTGTTGTAAAAACGCTTCAGAGGCTTTATGGAATGAGAACAGGGCATCACGATTGACAATGTACCTGAATTAACCGCCGTGATCACTACAACTGGTCTCACCTGCCCCGCCAAAAAATTTTAAAAAACATTTGTTTCTTCGCGCGCAGTGGCGGTAAAGAATGAAAATGTTTCAGAATCGTTCTTGAATCATTCAATATGCCCTTTGAAGATAGTAATCGCTTGATTAGGAATTATTTAGAAAATTTCGACGAGCATAAAACCTACAATTCGCATTCGCTTGGTGGTGGAGTGCCACAAGAAAGACGCGTATTAATGTTGCCAGCATTCAGACAGAGCACACGATTTAACCATTGTTCTATCTGAAATATACTGTGGCCCCAGGCAGCCAGTAATAAAAAAAAAGAAAATAGACAATCTAGCTAGGTAATACCCACCTCATCACCTGGTTTATATCGTATGCTTTCTTCCATCGTGAGCTCATGCAGTTTGCGACCTATAATTAGCATACGTTCACGATAATTCCGATTATTCAGTAACATGATTCACATTAAACGCACCCAATAGTAAAGAGAATATATTCAATCAAGAAGAGGGCAATGGATAGGAAACCCAATACCTTTGCTTGAAGCTAATTTCTCTCCCTTGATGCTTCCTGCCGCTTGTTGACGAAGTTGTTGGAGCAACTTCAAAGACAAGCTTCGTCCTGTTCCTTCATACCCGTTAATCGTTGAGGCAAGAAACACGATATAAGGACCTCAAANAAAGTAAAAAAATGAAAAATAAAATCGGCTCAATAAATTGGAGAATCGGAAACACTCGGAAAAAATGTCGACTTGAACACCGGCAATAAAGAGTTCTCACCGAAAATCAACTCTTTTACTAATGGCAGTGGTATCGCAGCAGCCTCATCCACAACTAGGAGTTCAGCTTGACCCAGTTTTGCAGCATCAGAAGGATGAATATACTGGAAGGTACAAATAAAAGCAGAAGATACACAATTTTGTTCCCTGAACAGAACCACCAAACTCAAGAAAAGAACTAAATGGCATCGAAAATCTCCTATGAGAGGGGTGATGAGTAAATCAAGTCCCACCCATGACTTACTTACTTTTTTAAATAATTTGAGAAAGTCCTAGGCCTGCTGCCCCTTGCTGGTATTCATGAATAACAACTGACGATGCAAGCGAACCTACCTGAATAGTTTGTCTATGTTCTCTGAAAACGTTAACTCGCACAAGCGCCTTTTGAAATTCTGGATTCGTAGATTGGATAAGTTCGTAATCAATGTGTTCCTTGAAAATATAAGATTGAAATTCGAACAGAAGCTCTACTTGAGACTCAGCGATGAGATACATCTATGGTATTTACCTGGTACCCCATGGTATCGAATCCTTTCATAACAAATTCGAATAGTGTTCGAAGATTCTCAGGTGATGGCGATGTAACAAAAATGTTTGAATAGCCGAAAGCGACAGCTCCAGCCAGTGCCAAGCCTTAACATTTGAAAACTCAACTATTCGTTGCTCCAAAACAATACAAGAAAGTTTGGTAAGAATGCTTACAAAACATTCGAGTTGCAAAAACAATTTGAAGTGGTTACCTAGAGAAGCGGATTTTCCTCGACCTCTTGCGGCTGTAATCGAGCAGGTTACATTTAAATCCTTATCAGTTATCACGTCGAGTAACCTAGAGGCAAGCTATTATCGACATTCTTTTTTATTAACCGACTACCTTACCTGAGTAAAGCCTTTCCTTGACATGCTGTTCGGCATTTATTGAGTAGCGGACCAATAGGCTTTGTGTCCTTCATGGTATCTTTCAAGGTTTTGAGCTCTGCTTCTGATGGAGAGACAGCATTCTGCAAATGAACATTCTGAAGAGTTACTTCAAATCGGTAACACGACGGATTTTCAGGCGGACATAAGACATTACAAACTTTTCTTCAACTCTGTCTACTGGAAAACATTCTAGAACTACTGTAAAGATCACTTTCAGAGAGGCTGTTGGACAGCTCTCCCATATACCATCATCTAATCTTTGTGCAATCACAAAAGCTTTTCCAACATCACAATTCTTATTAATCAAAATTGTAAGGAAAACATTTAAGAATTACGGTTCGTGCACCGCATCTGGCAAGATATCAGAAAAGGATATAAAAACGGTGAGAGGACGAAAATCGAAAAATGTTTGATCGCACATGGAATTTCTACAGAACACGAAAATGCTCAAGCTCTTCCAGCATATCTGAGGCAGCCAAAATACGGCTACCAACTGGAATATCAGTAAAGTAAATTACCTTCGAAGACGGTTGTACTGGTTCTAGTGTCGTAATATGACTAGATATCGGGAGAATATTGAGTTGATCGTCGACGACGGCTATATCTTTACAACTAGCTAACGAGAGAATGAATCGCTCATTGAATCGGGCAACAATTTCAGTGTGAGATTCGGTACGGTACCTGTTATGCACGTCCTGAAAAGAAGGTATGTTAATCAAATCCTTCAAGGCGATTTTCATTAAGAACTTCTTCGAGTATAATTTTTCCCAACGAACGTGGGAAAGATGGAATAGCTCTGAGCTGTTCATGATAGAAGTAAATAGTTAGTCGATGTGCATAACTAATTCGATAGTGATTGAAAGCGACAACGAAGAACACGCCATGGATAGTTCACTTGAATTATGGTTAACGTAACAGTAAAAACATAAATGATGATGGAAATGACTAGCGTGGGAAAGCAGATGGCTATGTAAAAAGAAAAGTTTGACTAGATTAAGAATCATTCCGAATGAAGGTTCAAAAATGTGGGTATGAAGTAGGCCTTGCTTACTCAATAGTTCCCACACCTTTTCTGTCATAATTACAACTCCTCCTTCCGACTTGGTTCGTCATGGCACATCGTCAAAACCACTCCGTCAATACGAATGGATACACAACAAAAGATCTACGTACACTCGATAGCGAATAAAAACCAAGAACAAAAGCTATTAAACATGGCAAACTGACCATTGCTATCGTGTAGAGTTGCCGTAATGAATTCACTGTTTTCATCAGTAACACTACAATGCCTCCACCCTCGATGGTTTCGATAGTTCGAGCCAAAAGATTAGGTGTAAGTGCTTCAAAGTCCTTTGAAATACTATTCATAATTTCAATGAACCAAATCGTTCAGCAAATCCTAACAAACCTGTAATACAAGCATCCCGTAAGTGTTTCCCAATATATTCTGAGTTTCATTATAATAGCAATAGCGGATTTTCGTCATTGATATGAAAACTTCGAATGGATCACCTTCCTAAATGATAGCAAATTCAAAAACTTAAGCTGCTCTTTATGCATATTTAAATTGCACCATAGGTAAAAGCAACCTGCTGCGAGTTACATAAAAACCTCAGTTAAGTATACCATTCTGACTCATAGAACACATTATTATGGCGCTGGAAAGTTGCTAGACGAAAAGAGATTACCGAAATTGTGCTGACGGACGATTTCAGGTGAATTTGACGTATTCGCTTCTTCTTATTAGAACTGTATCCAAGTTCTTTCTTGTAGCACCACAATACCGTCGGCCTAGCAGCCACAGTTGCTTTCGATAGAATATGGTGGAGAACAGGAATCTGAAAAACTGGTAGTTTAAAAATTAACAGAACACTAGGCTTGCAGTACTATACAAGTATACACTTTACAGGACGTTACCCTAGAATAGCGAGAGATTGGAAAGTTCATTAAAGTCATGTCAAAATGCCCAAGAATCCTCCATTATTTCAATCCAGGGTTTTCTTGAATGAAAAGCGTATACCAGCTACATACCTCAGTTACAATTCCCTCCTTACCTCCATCACCGATCCGGACAAAAGTTGGAAAAGTGTTTTTCTGCAGGGGCTTGACAAACAAAATTTATTAGTAGGGTGACATACCTTCAAATTTTGTAGGGAATAAAGTCTTTTTTGTCTACTAAAGAAAAGGTTGAACTAGAAATTATACTCTCACAAAAGATGCTAGTCACGGATATCGTCTAGAGGTAGGTTGCTGGATAGCGCTCAACCCTGTTTCAAGCAAGAAGCATCCCAACTACCCATATTGTTACACCTTTTCATCAATATTCAGCGCATGGGTCGAGCTTTAGCGTTTTTGCGACATTCAGGTCTACCTACACCGCCTTAGCAACAGTTTGACTCAGCAGTTTCAGCTGTTTTTCTTCAGCGACCGCATTTAATCTAGCTAAAGTGACACATGCTCTGATCACGAAGAGTATATATAGATGAGAAAAGTCATAACAAGGAATTCAAACAGATTATGAAAGTCATGAAAACGGCGAAAAGGTGATAGTCTACCTGATCTCGTCCTTTGTCACCAACTATGGCAAACATGCTTCGGTGACCCTTTGCAACACCATTCTCGATTAGTACCCGTATTCGATTGTCAATCTTGGTGCGCATTTTTTACCTGAAATGCAGTCATTAACCGAAGGGGTAAACAACAAACAACAGTTGTAAACACAAAACGTTGAGTTCTTATTCGAAAAAAAATGACAAAAAACCTTCTGCGAAAAAGTTTCTATACGACTCTACTTAAGAAGATCCCATCAGCACGGCACCTTATTAGAACTTTGTTTACTGCCCCTTCTAATAAGTAAAGAACTCTGATGTATCACAGCAATGCAGGCGAATAGAGAGTTTTTGCACAAAATAATGCTACGCGGCGGCGCGACATCGCACGCGGCAAGGGGCTCGGGATATCGCGATCGGGATTTATCCCGACGAGTGCACGCGTACGCTCTGAACCAAGATCCGTTGAACTTTACATTTTTCTTTAAAACCATCCAAAAAACGCCACTTAGGAAGTTTCTTTCGTTTCTGTTGCTATCATCGTTCTTGCTAGAAAACTCTAATCATCTCTTCAGTTTGAAATATCGACTTTTACCTTGTACTCAAAAGAATTCAAAGTTTTTTGATCATTTTCACTTTCAGTGATCTAGAATATTCAAAAAATTACGACGGAAACAAGGGTTTCTATCTTATGAAGCCAATACTAATATCTTATCAATCGATACTTTAAAGTGAGTTTAGTTTTTGGTTTTTCAATGGGGGATAGATATTGCGCCCAACTATTCAATTCGATTTCTGTAATTTAGACCCCGCCTCCCAGAAGGTAGTATTTCAAACTGTATTCCTAAATTCAATGAAAATGGTTGGAAGTTCAGAAACTTATACTTGCATAACTTCGTTTGAGAGCAATTTCCAGAAACATCTGTTCAAATTTTTCGATTAAGCAATCTAAAATGATGATTAGGTACGAAAGAAATTGTTTTTGAATCATTCAGATGGATTTCAGTCCTTATCTTGCAGTACTGCTTAGACAGCTGTACTATTTCAGTAGCCATGGCCAGATACCAACATTAAACACCGTCGGTGTAAAGAATATTACAGCCAACACAGAGAATTCCTCGAGAAAAACCTTACATATATGATACTGCATAAAATTCATAGCATTTCTAACATATGCTTGAGACCAGAATAAGCTTACGGTAGGATTCACAAGTAAATAACAAAAAGTAATTGAAAAAGATTCAAATCGGTGCCGATTTTGACTGCCCTCTACCAGATTTGTGTTCGCAAGTGGGAAAGGTTTTTTGAAGACTGGACGGTAGAGTCTAGAGGGGTAAAAGACGCTTTGAAAACTTAAAACGATACCGAGTGAATTAGGCGTCAACTGTAGTGCAATCGCGGTACTACGGAAGAGGCGCAGAATTTTTCGCGAATCACATCACAATTCTGGGGGACCCAGCATTTTGCTTAAGGACTTAAGGAATGGAAGCTTTTTAGAATAGAAAGATTCACACCCTATCGAAACCCTTGTTATAGAGTGGGGGAATCCATAGGCTTTATAAATTGGTACGAGGAAGCCTGGTATAGGTGCTATACTGTGATCCTTGAAGGTGTGTACCATTAGGCGCGGATTTGACAAGGACATCCATAACCCCCTATCGCAACTTGAGTCATTCTTCACGAGCCATTCTTTGACCATCCATGTCCATTCCAATCAGGTCCACTCCCCGCACGCGACTTGAGGTGACTCCGCGCGGCGAAGAGATGTGCCTAATGCCGTTTTCCGTTAAATGACCTCTGTATATTACAGAAATTCTCTACTAAAAGCATTGCTCCTAGGTAGCAATTCAAAAGAAAGCGTCCGTTTTCAGATTAATATAACGTATACATAATAAAGATGCAGCGAAAATCGAGAGTATTTATCAGTTGTATGGTTCTCAGCGCTCTAATCACCAACAGCCATGGAGATGGGTGAGTTTATAACTTCCAAGATTTCTTTTAATCAAAATTACTGCGAGGCGGTACTCCTACCGATTCCGCAATCCCAATGGGACCTCAATTCAAATTGCCCTTCCGCGATTGGATGGGGTTTTGCTTCAGTCATGGAACTATTGCCCCACTATTTCTTCATCAAAGAAAAGGCGATCACTAACGATCAGGGTCCTCAGTCACCACGTACTCGTGAGGCTGGTTGAAGGGTTAGGTATGTTAACGAAGGTGAACCACGAAAGCGCCCATGTTTCTGAACAGTTGAAATCATGGTTACATTAACCTACCCAGTCATCAATCTCTCACTTACACCTCTCAATCCTGGCTTCCAGAAGAACCATCTACCGAGAAAGGATGGGGGAGAGAGGGGAGGGGGTAAGAGGCCTCTAGTGGTATTAGTAAAATACGACTTCCTTTATTAAATTGATCAGATGATGTGGTCCTCAACACTCTTCCAGCCTTCATATGAGGGGGATTCCCATCTATAATTGTATTATGTGAGAAAGAGTGGGTAGAAGAGGCAAGAAAAGTGGGGTCCGTCTAACCCTCCACTTCCTCCAATTTGCTATGTCGGAGAACCAGCTTTGTTTGCATTATTTGTTTGTTTCTTTTATTTATATTTATTTTGAACTTGACTTTCAGGCAAAAGAATGTAATTCTAATTATAACTGATGACCAAGACATTGAACTTGGTTCAATGCAGTACATGCCTAAAGTGACAAGGTTGATGAGGGAAAAGGGTACCGAATTCCATGGAGGGTGAGTTTGTAATCGTTAAGATTTATAAAAATTATTCAGGACTCTAGAGGCTTTTCGAAGTTTACTGAAGTACAGCCCGAGTAAAAGAATTTTCAGCTTTGTCTCTACACCGATCTGTTGTCCAAGTAGATCAAGTTTACTTACTGGAATGTATGTACATAATCACAATGTCCATACAAATAATCATAATTGTTCTGGGGAAGAATGGAGGTGAGTTGTAGTTTATTTTCACCACAAAAAAAATTCAAAAATTAATAAATTTTTTTATTATTCAATTTTTTGAGTCACAAATAATTATTAAACGCAAGAATTTATTTTGTTTGGGAATAATCGAGAAAATTTTAAGAAATGAGAAGTAGCATGAAACCAAAACAAATTTTTAAATTCAATAATGAAATGTTCAATTGTTCAGTTGACAGAAAACTTCCTAATTAGTTTCACCCAAACGTTATCATCAGAACTGACTCCCAAATCTTCTGTCTTTGGAAAATCCTAATTTTGAAAGATCACTGCATGATCATCAGTTCATAAGTATTAGTAATATAAAATTAACAATATTAATTCATAATATTTATAATTCATAATATTGATATTAACTACCATATTAGTGTAGTGTGTAAGTAGGGTGTAAAGATTACTGTAGTGGGATGTATTCTGCTACAGTAATCCACTGCTCACTATAGAAGAATAAAAACCAACTTACTGTCACATTGGTATGGCATTAACTGCGCACTCAGTGGTCACTAAGATTTTCGATAAAAGTCGAGTGCATGGCGCGTCTAAAGTCGATTGACTGACGTCAAGCAATACATTCCTCGTTTTCGAAGCATTGTGGCGGCTGGAAAAAAGAATAAATCATTCATCAAGAACAGTGAATCTGTTCGGGATGTGCCATGTCTGAAAAATCAGAAAGAATATAGTTCATCTACCGGCAAAGGCGCTGTTCTGCTCCATGAGCCATAATGAGCCGAACTTTCTTTATTAGGTACCTTTCAAATGTTAATTTATTCATACAAATACCCAATTAATTGAGTAGTTTAGATTATTATTAATTCGCTTTCAGAAAAACTCATGAACCGCGAAGTATAGGTGTCTACATGAAGGATGCTGGCTATCATACAGCTTATCTAGGAAAATATTTGAATGAATATGAAGGGTGGGTTTTTCAAAAAAACTTTTCAAAGTCTTTTTGTCATGAGAGGGACTGAAAAATGGGCTTTGGAATTTGTGTAAGGCAATCGTGTGGATACATGCCAGCTTCGGAATCATGCTCTGAGCGTTCTCGTTGGTGAAATATCAACCTAAAAAAGCCCAGGCTTGATTATCTACCAACAGAAAATGTGTCGAGCCATGCCAGTTCCGCCCCTTTGCTACGATCGTCCTACCTTCGATTCTACCTGTTTTGATGAGTAGATTCTAAACAGTATCGCTTCAGGAATTATGTTCCACCAGGCTGGGATCATTGGATGGGCTTGGTAAAGAACAGCAAGTTCTATAACTACACCGTAAATTTAAATGGAAACCGTATCAAGTATGGAGGAGAATACGAAAAGGTTCGATGTGTTTATTTTTCTTTCTTATCTTACCCTTCCTTTCGATATTGGTATGAGGAATAGCTTGAAGTAAACGTAGCCCCTTTGACTGATACGAGTGAGTTATGATAACCAACCCGAAGTCTGAGATACATTAGGAGTGCTTGATAGGGTCAATGTAGCTGGCCAGGACAGGTTTTTTTTNTTTTTTTTGACTATGTTATTTAAGTGGAATTACTTCAATTCCGGAAGTTTGTTGTAATTTGGCGAAGTGATTAGAAAGATGGCATTCTACTCCTTTTCTTTCTACCCGTGTGTAGGAGACATCGCTTTCTGGAGATGTCACCCTGAAGGTTGTACTTAACGAGGAAAATTTCCCAACATCAATTGAATGGGCTGGTTAGAGTCTAACCTAGACCTCATTCTAGCTGAAGTTTTTTCCTTTTCAGGATTATTTTACCGATTTGGTCACCAACAACTCTGTGAAATTTATCACGGATCATTTTCTGACTCAAGGTCATGATCCGTTTTTCCTTGTGATCAGTTACCCAGCTCCACATGGTCCTGAAGATCCAGCGCCACAGTACGCGGAACTCTTCGAAGATATCGATTCACACAGGTGAGTTGAAGTCCTCAAAAATCTTACCAGCCCCCCTTCGTCGGCAATCTCTTGGATCAGTGTGTTGAAACAAAATAGGCTGAGGTTTTTCGGAAGGCCCCAGTTCTAAGTGGCAAGTGCGTTAGGACATAGAATTCCTCCCCAAGATCTGCACCTTCACTGTGACCAGACGTCTTCCGCCCTCGCAACCATGTCAACAGATCAAAGTTTCATATAGTTAGCAGAATAGAACGACTTTACAGGACTGACTCATGGAACTATGCCCCGAATCCGGATAAGCAGTGGTTACTGCAAAGGACGGGAAAGATGGAACCGGTGCATGTGGCATTTACCGACTTACTACATCGCCGTCGTATGCAGACATTGCAAAGCGTTGACGACGGTGTTCATCAGGTACATCTTGACCTGACAAGCAGCAGCAGTCCTTGTATCCAAGCAATTCGTCTATTTTCAGATTTTCTCTACTCTTCGGGATTACAACTACTTGTCATCCACATATGCCTTTTATACATCTGACCATGGATATCACTTGGGCCAATTCGGTCTAATCAAAGGGAAAAACATGCCCTATGAATTCGATATTCGAGTACCATTTTTCCTACGTGGCCCAGGTGTTATGAAGAATTTCAGGTGAGTTCTTCTGC